TAAGCATAACAATTAATGTTAATACTACGCGTTTATGACTTAAGTGACTATATATACTTATTCCTTGGGCACAAAACCTTAGACAATTCTGTTTCCACGGGACTTAGGCGCCTGAAGAGCTTTCTTGCACTGTTCCATTGGCCTTCACTTTTTTTTGGGCAAGTTGGCATCTTTTGCATTGATCCTTCTCTTTTCTTCTTGTAAACACTATAGAGCTATCATTGTGAGGGTGTGAGGGTGCATTTCCTGAGTCTTTTGCCACTGTTTGAAGTCAGTTTGAGTGCTGAGTTTGAAGTTTGGGTTGAGAACCATCTTGTTCTTGGCTTGTGAAGCTTCAAGAAGCTTCCTTTGGGTAGAAAGGTCCAAGCTTGTGTTGTCATTTTCATTTTTGGCAGAGTCAGAACTGTGAAGAGCCATTGGTGAGCTCCAAGAGCACTCCTTCCTCTGTTTTCAAGTTTGGGTAAGTGGTTGAACCTTTGAACTTGAGTTTAAGTGGTTAAAAATGGAACCTTGATGCATGTAACAAGCTAAGGTGATAACCTAACGTTGGGTAATGCTTAACACACTTGAAATGCATGTTTAAGCTTTTGTAATATGTAAAAGTTGGACCTTTGGTTTGGATTTTCGCGAAAGGCAGAATCTGGGTTCTGTCGCGAAATATCCGGATATGTTGTTGTGAATATCTGGATATTGATATCCGGATATGGGTATCCGGATATTGATATCCGGATATGAGGATCTGAATATCCAGATCTGGATATCCAGATATGGATATCCAGATATTGGAAGAGAGATATCCGGATATTGATATCCGAATATGCCCCCGACGAATATCCAGATATTCTGGGTTTTCAAGGAACAGTAGCTGCACTATTCATGCAGTGGACTTTTGGGGGTTTGTGAACCCTAGATTGTTGAAGTTGAACTTCTGTTTTTAATTGAACTAAGTCAGAATCAAGTGATTAAAGGCTTATGGCTTTGTATGAAGCCTTAAGACGTAAAACGTGAAAGAAAAGACATTGTCTTTTGTTGAATGCTTGTAGAGTATGATTTTGATATATTATTGGTCCATAACAGATTGTGATACTGCTGTGTTTGGACTTTGAGATTGTGTGGACTCTTGGCTGGGATAGCTAGCTTGCAAGGTAAGCTTTCGTGTCCTCGGTTTAGCCATGTTGTGGTTCCACCATGTCCCATGGGGGTATGGTTATATGCATGCTGTGTTACATGCTTATGATATTTTGGAAATGCTATTGAGCTATTTTATGCTAGTGCCTTTATGATATGCATGTGTTGTTCCACCTATACGGTAAGCCTGAGTATATAGTACATACACTACGGTGAGGCTGTGGGTGAGGTGCAAGCGGTGTTCCTTGTACTATCTGTAGGAAATAGGCGTATTCCTGCATTTCTCTGGCCAGTAGAATAGTTAAACACACAAGGCATGAATATCTGTTGCACTGCATAGTTTTGAGAACTTATATTGAATTACGTCTTTTAGAACTTATATTGCACATGTAAGTGAGCTTGGAGTGGAAGATCCTTGAGGACCCCTTGTCTTACTGAGATTTCTGTTTAGAGATCCCACCCTACGTTTGGGGCACCATTTCAGGTTCAGGTAATGCGGGGGTTGAGACCTCCAGCGGCAGGAGGCCGGAGCTTAGCTAATTATTTGTTGTTATGATGATTATGTTGGATGCTGGATCCTGTTTACTGTCTTATGCTCTTAGCTTCAGTTTATGGATTATTATGTTGAGACTTTGTTGGTTATGCTGTTGATTTGGTGAGCATGGGGATTGTCCATGCCACATAGACTTGATTATGTCTTGCTTTATTAGGAGTTGTAATAATGTATCAGGATATTGTCCGGACTACGTGTTGTAGATCCGTGACTTTAGATACTCACTTTATATATATCATGAGGTATTTCAGTTAGATGTTTATTTGCAATTTACATACAAGCGATATTTTATGAAAATGATTAAGTAATCAACTCGGCTAAGTATAATGACGTCATAATTGAAAAGAAAAAGATATTCCGCATTTTTAATTAAGCGTAGCTTAATACGATGATATGTTAACAAACCGGGTATACACGGGGTGTTACAGATAACTTATCTGCATTAACTGCAGAAATATTTTTCTGAAAGTTTATTTTATATATATATATATATATATATATATATATATATATATATAAAGGGTAAAGTGTGTGTCATTTTAAAAGATGTAAAGTTGTGTCATTTTAAAAGAAAGAAAGTGTAAGAACCTGCACCGTTAATTAAGGAAGTTAATTATAAATTATGAGAAATTAGGAAATAATTCCATAATTGACCCTAATAATTATGAGAAGGCTTAAATATTTATTGTAAGTGGTTACTTAATGCTGGAAGTCGCTTTTATGAAGGAAAGCGCATATACCGGTTCTGCTAATCGGTATAAATGCGTACCGATGAAGTATCCCAGAAAATTATAATAAGTGCATGAATATTCCTATAATAATATATATGACTGTGATTTCAAGTTTCAAGTCAAAATAATGAGAACTGGTGCCAAGACTGATACTGGCTATGTAAAAGCGCGTACCGAAAAGATGCTGTGAAAAATAAAATAAAAATATGTTAAATCCTAGAAAAATGATTAGTTTCTAAATCTAAAATTTGAGATTAAAATGCTAAGCGTAGCTATTATTGTTAATACTGTGTGATTACACTTAAGTGAGCTATAAATACAACTTTTGGGCTCAAAACCCTAGGCTTTTTCTATTCCTATGTGAGTTGGAGGCTGACCAGATTTCACTCACTGTTCCATTGCCACTTCCCTTCACCATTCCTTTGCTTTCCCTCTCCATTGAAGCCTCTTGAGACCACCATTTCTCTTGAATTCTTCATAAAGACTCTTTGTGTGAGTGTGTTTAAACCTTTGGAGAGTGAAAGGTTCCCCATTTCTGAGTGGTAGCTTCTGTCTTAGGGTGAGTTGTGGGCTGAGTTGAGGGCTACCATTGGTGAGAGTCATCTTCTTACCCTTGAAGGCTCCAATAAGCTAACTTGGTGAAGAAAGGACCAAGCTTTGGTGTATTTTCGTATCTTGGAAAAGTCAAAACCTTGGTGTGTAGTTGGAGACTTCTATTCTGCCTCATTTTCTAAGTTTTGAGCATTGGAGGTGAGCCATGATCACCTCTTTGTCATTTTGATGATTTAAGCTTGTTTAATCGGTTAAAAAGTAAAACTTGGACCATTTAAGTAAAGGAATGTGTTTATGAGTTCATAACATGTTAATGAATGTCTGTTTATGGAGTCATTGGACTCCAAATCACGTTTGGACCCTTAAAGGTGGGATTATGAAGAAATCTGTTCGAATTTCTGCATTCTGTTTGAGAAGTATTCGAATATTTTTCGTGTAGTATTCGACTACTTGTCCTCTGGTAATCAGATACTCATTGTAGGAGTATTGGGATACTTTTCTGGGAAGAAAAGTATTCAATACCTTTGAAGAAGTATTTGAATACTGTATAGTATTTGAATACAATGGGTTTTGGTATTCGAATACTGTGGTATTCAGATACTTGGGGGGTAAAGTATTCGGATACTGTGTGGTATTCGAATACTTAAGTGAAAGTATTCGGATACTTTCTGGAGACAAGTAGTATTCGAATACTCATCGAGAAGTATTCAAATACCTCCTGCAGAAACAACGTAAAATGACTTAAAATGAGATGGAAAGCCTTAATCACTTAATGTAACCTTGGTAAATGGTTATTGAAGATTATTCACTGTATAACAGATTGTAATTGTGTTGTTTGTAGGCTTGAGCTAGTGAGGACTCTTGGCTTGGATAGTTAGCTTGCAAGGTAAGCTTTTGTGTCCTCGGTTTTGCCATTGTTGATTCCACCATACCCCATGGGGGAGTGGTTATATGCATGATGTGTTTTCATGTTTTGATGTTTGAAATGCTTGTGAACTGTTAAGTGCAAGGGTCTTATAATATGTATGTGTTGTTCCATCTAGACGGTAAGCCTGAGTATGTGGCATCATACAATATGGTGATCATGTGGGTGGGTGCAAGTGGCGTCTTGCACTAGTGTAGGTAATAGATGTATTCCTGCATTTCTCTGGCCAGTAGAATAGTATTGACACACATGACATGATTATCTGCTGCATTGCACTGGTTTTGGAACTTATATTGTTGAACTGTTTTAGAACTTATATTGCACATGTAAATGAGCTTGGGGTGGAAGATCCTTGAGGACCCCTTGTCTTACTGAGATTTCTGTTTAGAGATCTCACCCCACGTTTGGGGCGCTTATTTCAGGTTCAGGTAACCCAGGGGGTTGAGACCTTTAGCGGCAGGAGGTCGGAGCTTAGTTGATTGATGTTTATCTGCTTATGCTGACTGTGCTTGGATGCTTGTTTATATCTGTTGATATCATCCTTATAGCTTCATTTGATGTTATTGTTGAGACTCTGATGGCTATGTCGTTTTTTGGGTGAGCATGGGGATTGTCCATGCCACATTGACTTGACTTTATGCTTTTAGTTCGTGTTGTATTAATGTATCATGATATTGTCCGGACTACGTGTTGTAGATCCGTTACTTAGATACTCACTTATTTATCTATTGAGGTATTTCAGTTAGCTGTCTTTTGCAATTTATATACTTGCGATGTTTTTATGAAATTGATTAAGTAATCAACTTGGCTAAGTTATTGACGTCATAATTGAAAAGAAAAAGATTTTCCGCATATTTAATTAAACGTATCTTAATACGATGACATGTTAACAAATCGGGTATACACGAGGTGTTACAGAAAGTGATATATAAAGGTGAAGAGAGAGTTGACAAAAAAAATAAAGGTGTGGGTCCCACCTCTTTGTGAGAGTGAAATGATATAAGTTGTATCTTTTAAAAGGATAAATAATTTTCCCATATATAAAAACTAGGTAAAACAGGCAATAATGCTAATCTTTATATATATAGCGCTATGAAATATATGACTGGTACCACAAATTTAAATATTAAAGCATTGTCTAATAACAAAATCTGTTACGTTAAACCATAAATCTTAATATAAACTTCGTTTGAAATCTTAATAAACTTGAAGGAAGAGAAAAGGAGGGGGGAAGGGATACGAATATAACAGAGAATTAGATTAACTACATAAATTTTCATAATTTTCCTTCGTTTGAAAATCTTCCAGCTAGCTAGTTCTATACAGATCTCCAATATGCTTCCACAATGTTGCTCCCGAAAACCAAATTAGAAGAACTAAGCAGTCAATTTTCAATGGAACAAGTTGACATCCCTGCAAAAGGCCAAACTCGAATAATTGTAATTCTTATTCCAAATATCGGGTACGCAGATGATTAATAGATTTCAGGCTTAATACATAACTTTTTTAGTCTCCATGGTTTCAGAAAAATAAAAGATCATCATCATCTCAAAGCTTTATTTCTTACCCATGTCAAGAAGTAATGACTCTAAAGGCTTACAGCAAACTATTACCACTTCGTTCAATTGGTAATTAATTTATAAGATGCGATTATGAAAGTCAAAAACTTTATTAGAACACGAGTAGAATACTACCTTAGCAATATTATCACCCAAGTACATGCACTTGCATTGAATCAAATCTAATTTAACCATGAAAGATTAATCATATCATCCACTTGCATTATATAGGATATGCAGGATATTGAACATGCATACTTTACTGTTACTTAAAATAGACTATATAGGAAGGATTTAAAAAGAATAAATTAGTACCTAGTAAAAAAAAAGAATAAATTAGTCTCCTTAAAGAAGTTTAATTAAAAAAGTAATATGAATTTAAATTCTTACAATGCCTTTAACTTTCTTTGTTATTCCCGGCATCCGACCTCATCAATAATGGGTTCCCTCTTAAATAAAAAATGTAATAAACTGTAATAAAATTGATTATCACTATACTTCAAACTAACATATAATTTCGAATACAAAGGTTGTACACATTTAGTGTCATTGGAGCAATGTTGTCAAACTCGAGTTTCTACTTAGAAACGGAAAGGGGTGATAGAAACGTAACACGAAACGTAAAGTTTCTATTTTCTACTACTTAAGGTCCAGATACAAAATTATATATATGCATGTAAAAATATATATTACATAATGAACATGTGTGTTGAGCCATTTATCTGTCTAAAAAGAAAAATTATTTTTGATAACCAAGTATCAAAATTATAAACAGTGATAACTAAAAAATAATGGATAACCAATCTGCTCTAACTGCTTCATACACTCTGCAGATTTTGGATCATCGCTCATTAAGATATAATTTCACTTCTTTCAATGCACACAATGATCCAAAAACACAAAATGATTCTCATAGCATAACTTATAATAGAATTGCAGCTTTATAAGACATAATTATAAAAGACATATATCCAAACAAAAAGATATCAAGATATTATGCATATGATTTGGGAAAAACGAATATTGGGTTTTTTTAATTTCTTTTTGTAAATCTATTTTTTTTTAATTTTTTTCGTTTTAAGTAAAAACGGTCAAAATGGTAAAGACGTAAGCTTTTACCATTTTTACGCTTTTACACGGTGTTTTTATCAGTTTTTACCAAAGACCGTTTTTACTTGCGTTTTAACACGCATCACTTTAGTAAAAATAGATTAGGCTAAATTAGACTTTGGCTTAAATAGGCCAAGTTTGTGTAAAAAGTATTGGGTCTAGCCTGACATGTTAGCCTGTATAAGCCCCAAATTATAAGTCTGGCCTAACTTATATTTAAAAAATAAAAATCTTGGTCTAGACCTGTTAGTCTGTTTAAGCCTATTAAACATTCAACAATTAAAAGAATAACTAAAATAATATTACTTTATTATTCAAAATTACTAAAATAATAATTTTATTTATCTATTTAAAATCAATAATATGATATAGGCTAACCTATAAGCTTATAGGTCCGACATGTACAAAAAAGCCTATAACCTATTTTTTAAATAGATTTTTTTAAAAATTTAGACATTCTATTTTACTATTTGTAATAGGTTAATTAAGTCTGGCTTTATATAGGCTAGGCCAAAGGCCCTTGTAGGTCGGCCTAGCCCATTTACACCCCTAACTGTCATATGCAACAACTAAATCCTTACACAGAATCTCATTAAACAAACAACACATTTTATGTATCTACTATAAAAACAAAAAATAACAACAATAAAACATATGAATGAGAAAAATGCTCATCGTTTGATAACAAAGTTACATTTATTTTGAAAAAAGTTACCCCGTCTATTCAAAGTAAACATGACTTACAACAACCAAATTTAAAATTAAGATGTTTCATATATAATCTTCAAAAAATGTCAAGCAAAAACATTACATGGGCCGCAATAAAATATGCTAGAACTGTGGCTGCGATAAATTATTTCGAGTACAGATCTTACTTAGATATATTTATGTCATTGATAAATAATTATAATTTACTGATATCAAATTTATAAAATCTTATTATTAATATTTGTTTTTACTGTATTGATTTATGATTACAATAATATATATTACAAATTTTAAGAAATTAAAAATATTCACAAGTTGATAAACATATTTATTTATTTAAAATATGATGAGTAAGATTAAAATTTAAAATTATTTGTCTAGCTTAATAATCAAATCAAATAATTTATACATTTTTTAAAAAATATATGTGTTTAAATATAGCATTCACAACTTGATCAAGTAGTTTTAATTTTTAAATTATATAACAATATTTTTTCATAAAATCAACATACCAATTATTTATAAAATAAGAAGGGATAAATTTAAAAAAAAATTAATTAATTACTAAATAATATTAATATATCAAGGTCATTTAATCCTCACCCACATATATTTGAATTTAGTTTTTCTAAAATAATTGTGAAGTTATATTACTTTTTCAATCACATGTAAAAAAAATTATAACTAAATGCTGATAACTTAAAAAAATTAAAAATACTACAACGAAGATAGTATCTATATACTATTATATAAAAACTACCATGAAAGTAAGATCAATGTCACATGTCAGTAAACATAAGTTTTTTTTTTCTCCCCCATTTCATTTTCATTTGATATAGTCCTATTTTTTCATGTATTCTAATTAATTCTAATTTAAAAAGTTTTAAATCTAATTCAAATTTTATTATTAACCGATTTGGTTTAATTTAAGTGATTAAGTATCTTTTATCTTTTTAAATGAACATATATTGATTACTCTTACCTATCAAATTTTAAATATGTTTTTTTTAAAACAGTATATTAATTATAATATCAATTACACTTGTAATATGTTTATTTCCCATATTTTTATATGGATGTTAATTAATCATCCCCTGTACTATTTATACTAAATATAGTTATGAATAATAATTTTGAATAAATACGTGAATTTTTAATGAAGATTTTATTCGTAATTATTTTAATTTAGTATAAGTGATTAATCTTTTTCTCTTTAACATATAAATTAAAATTTTAATTACGAATATTATTTTTTATTTCTTTTAATACACTTTATTAATTAATTTGAATTTAAAATTCAAAATTAAAGTGTTATATATATTGGTATAATAATATGATAAATACAAATTTTGTATATTTTATATACATCTTAATGTTTCTTTGAAAGAAAAAAATTACATCTCTACTGTAACCATAAATGAAACTCAAAATTATATTTTTTTTTCTTATTGTTTATATTTCTGTACTCATTATAATAATAATTATAAAAATATTAATTTAATAATATGATTTAAAAATAATATCTTATTTCATAAATAATAAATATTTGTTTCTTCAAGGCTGTCTCTCACAAAATTTATAGAAGATAATGTTAGAGAAAAAAATATCATAATAACACTTCTTCTTAACTTTATATAAAATCAACTAAATTTTAAAATAATATAGCTTTTTAGATAAATAAAATTTTTATAATAATATGAAATTTCTTAAGCTATTAGTATCATATTTTTATATTTTCTATAACATATATCCCACAATTCTTAAGCTAAATGTGAGCAAAAAGAATGAAAAGGACAGATAAGAAAAAGACAGAATATAATAGCATCAAAGTTGATAAGAGCATAATAGCCCCCCCTCCAATGAACGGAAGGGCACTCGTGACTCTGCCAACCCACACTTAAAATATTTCCAAAAAAAAAAAAATGAAAAGTAGAAGACAATAGAAGAAACAAAGAACTGCATCACATCGCATCGCTGTCCATCCCATGCAAGACAACATGTTACCCTCACAAACCTAATAAACTTTTTTTTTTTTTTTTCTCAATCAAATTTAAAAGCTAGAGCATCAATTTTTTCATAAAAAATCATTGACCAATAAACAATAAAATAAAAAAGTATTCCCTAAACAAACACATATACCAATGAAACCATGCTTTAATAATCATAAAATACATATAACAATGAGTGTTGATTTTTTCACTTGAAAAGGTAGTCGTGTGGTCATGTTATTTTTTATCACAATTATTTATTGACGATGAGTTAAGAGAGAGAAAAACATATAATTTGTAAATAAGTGATTGTAATCAAATAACATGATCATTTTCACACATGAGAGGATTCAAAATGTAATAATCATCATCATCATTTCAATAAAGGTGACTAAATTTTTTTTTTGTTGACGTACCGTTTTGTACTTGATTCACTCACTGAAAGTCGTTCCTTCCACCTCGAAAAGTTTGTCCTGACGGCGCAGCATTATTTCTCTCTGATTCCAAAGAGCTCAAGTTGAAACCACTTTGTTGTTGTTGTTGTTCTCTTTGTGAAACTCCACCACCACTCATGTTTCTCACAACATGACCAACTCCTAGAAAGTCTCGGGTGAGTCTATCAGAGCCTCCAATGCTCACAGTTGGAAGTTTAAGCTCTCTGTTAATGCCATGATCGAATGCTTCAAACCCAGCAAGCACTGCATCAGAAGAAGACACGCTTTCGAAGATGGAAGAGTTTCCACTACCTGCAAACGAGTTCATTAGGCCTTGAAAGTTGTTATGCTGGTTATTGTTTGATGATGTTCCAAAGCTTCTAAGCAATGAGGATGCAGTGTTGTTGTTGTTATTATTGTTGTTGTTGCTTGAAGTTGCACCCATTTGAGCAGCTTTTTGAAGCAGTGCTGTTGCGGACATGTTATGAGGGATGGTTGTGTTGCTGCTTTGGAAAGATGTGCTGAAGAGAGAAGGTGCACTTGCAGAGAAGAAATTTGATGACCCTTCATAGTTGAAATGTTCTTCAGAATAGTTGTTGTTGTTGTTGCTGCGACTTGAAAGAAAGGGAAGGTTGAAGAGGTTTGGTCCAGATGGGGAATTGTTGTTTGTGTGGTAATTATTTTGGTTTTGGTTTGATTCTGATGAGATGAAGAATGAAGGTGTGGTTGTGTTGTGAATGGTTTGTTGTTGTTGTGAAGGTCTAATATGTGATGGTGGTGGTGGGAGAATGTGGTCAAATTGACCAGTGAAACGTAATAGGTCACTAGAATTGTTGTTGTTATTGTCATGGATGGAGGAGATCTGTGAACCCATTTGAGATAAGGCTATGTTGTTGTTGTTGTTGCTGCTAATGGCACTGCTTAGGTTCGGTGGTTGTCTTGCACTTTCTTGAGCCAGTGCATCACAGAAGGCCCTGTGAGTTATGAAACTGTCTCTTCTGCAGTAATATAATTCAAAGAATACTTTAGATATCTCAGGTTATAATAACTATCTTTAAATAGACTATTCTAAGAATATTAGCATTAGTGAAACAAGAGTTTGGTTAATGAGTTCATATCCTGAGTTCGTAATCTTGCTATTTATTTATTTGGGAGTGTGGTATACATCGTTTTACCAATTTGCAAATGCTACAAATAAAATGTTGCTTTGTGCCTGGTAACTGAAAGTAGGGAGGTTCATGGGTCGAATCGAATCAATTTTTTTAAAAAATCGAACCGAATTGGTTTAAATAGTTCGGTTCGGAAGTGGTTCGGTTCGGTTCAAAACTGGTTCGGTTCAGAAGTGGCTCAGTTTGGTGGGAAACAGTTCGGTTCGGAACCGATTCGAAAATGGTTCGGGTCGACCCTCTTTTGAAAAGAAAAAAAAATTAAAAATTTAATAAAGTTATAAAAATCAATTTGGTTCGGTTTAAAAACGGTTCAGTTCGGTTCGGTTCAATTCAAAATGGTTCGGTTCTTAAATTGGTTCTAAAAACCGGTTCTGTTCTTAAACTGGTTCTAAAAATCGGTTCGGTTCATGAACTGATTTTTAAAAACCGATTATTTTAAGGAGCAGTTCGGTTCGGTTCGGTTCATGATTCGGTTCAATTTTTTATTATTTTCCACACAGAGTGTACTTATATAAATTGTTATCTTAATAGTTGTATGGCAATACCTCACAGAAAAATCATTAATTAGATTTTAAAAAAATTATTTTATTTAGTAAATCATTTTAAAAAAGCTAATTAGAGAAATGGAAGGTAATAAATTTGTGTATTATAACAATATAATTTAATTTACTATGTGATAGGTACTTACAATTATCAGTTTTGGTAAAAAAAAATGTCCCGGGTATATACATAGTTCAAAAGCTCGGATAATTTTACTAGAAGATTTTTAACCTTACTAAAAAAATCATATGAAACCGTTTACATGCATCCCACCCTCCTGGTGCCGACAAATAAATAAATATAAAAAAAAAGTTTGCTATCAAAACAGTGACTATTGCTGCTATTAAGATCCCTGAAATATTTATACATTGCTAGAAATAGACTTAATTGGCATTCCCAAGTAAAAGACAACAATCACAAAGGAAAATCTTAACATAAAGGATAATAAAAATCATAATGACACTGAGGACAAATATTTACGTGTAATTATGAAACGAGTAGTTAAACAAAAGAACAATGTGAATGACACTACAAGGGATTAAGTAGATAATTAACTAAAAATTCCGAAAAAATGACAACAAAGACAAAGGATGGCAGGTGAAATAATTTAACCCAAACTTGATAAAAATATTAGTAAATCAATTAATTAGATATGCCATTTCAAGAAATTGGCGTTAGATAAATCAAACTGAAGAATTTATTTAACGTTGTGAAACTGATCAATCAATAAAATCATAAATATATCAATATATATATATATATGGAAAAACATTTCTACAACTACTTTAGATAAAGTTGTCTACAGCTACCTTTTTAACTAAGTATGACCGGTCATACATTAAAATTGCATTTTCTCTCTCCGCCACGTCAATCGACAGTGTCTGAGGAAAGAGAAAAAAGAACAGCTTTATTGTTATAACAAAATATGATCGGTCATACTTAGTTAAAAAAAGTAGTTATAGATAACTTTATCTAAAGTGATTTTAAAAATACTTTTTTCATATATATATATATATATATATATATATATATATGATCTTAAAGACTTAAACACTATTATCAAATAAAAAGTTTCGACATCCATTCTAAGAGTTGTTGATCTGTAAACATGTGGCACCGTTGATCTGACGGCTCTTATATGAACTGTCAAATGATTATATATATATATATATATATATATATATATATATATATATATATATATATATATATATATATATATATATATATATATATATATAAGCAAGCCAAGAAAACTGTCAAAAGAATCTATCCGCTGGTAACACAGCAATCAAAACTTGAAATAATGTTGAAGAGATAGAAAAACAGTACAAAGACAAAATAGAGAGAAAAAGAAAGACGGAGTTTGTTATATAGGCCCTAACGTTATCACGAAAGGGAGCACCTGCAAGAGCACGGTACTTCTGAACACATCTAGCCAACTCATAAGGGAACAAAGCTAGTAACAACACCACATTATTATTCCCTCTCTTTTCTTCACACCATAACAACACGTGAATAGAAAAAAAATAAAAAAAATATACATAGCAAAACAAAAATAGCGGTGTTTCCTAGGCAAAATGAGAAAATGGGAGTATTTTATTTTTATTTTACTTTTTTTTCTCTCTCTCTCGTTTGTTTGCAAGAGATAGAGAGAAGAGGGTACTGTTCCTCCGTGTGTAATGTTCTGATTTTCAGAGATTATTCACGTGGGGGGTATGTCTCCTTGCATTTCGCTTGGACCCCGATACAAATATAAGAGAAAGATGACAAAGGAAACCATACGAGAAAAAGAGGACAGAATCGGAATCAATTAGAAGGAAACCAAACTCAATAGAAAAAAAAGAAATCATCACCAAATGGTGGTAGTTTTGATAATAGCAATGAGCTTGAGTAACTGGAAATGAAAAAGTTTTGGTTCAATTTTCCTATATCACATTTGGTAGGGGATTAAATATTTACATCATGACCATTCATCCCGCACTCCAAATTAGTTTCATAATCTTTTAGTCGAAATTTATAAAAATATCGAGAAAACAACTCGCCTCAAAGAAATAATTATAGTTGGGTTAAATAAAAAAAAAAGCATCTAAGTCCTTTTAGCCACCTGAAGAATCTAATAAGCCCTAACACAAACCAAACTAACCTAAATCAAACAAAACAGTTTTTCCTTCTTCTAAAGTTCATGAATTGTGACCTTGACACATTCATTGCATCAACAAAAATGCGAAGTAATTATTGGACATGTTGTTACCTGGAGAAGAGAGTGCCACAGTCACATCTATATTCTCTGGTGCCACAAGTTTTAGAATGTGCTTTCCAATCAGATTGAACAGCATATTTTTTGGAGCATTTGTCACACTTCCATTTTTTCTCACCATGTTTGCGAGAGTAGTGTTTCTTAATACCAGTGAGGTCACCAAGAGCCCTTGAAGGGTCATGGTGGACGCATGTGGGTTCGGGACACAGATAAACCTTTCTCTTTGGCTCTTTTGTAGTCTTCTGCTTTAACTTCCAAGGCAAGTTGTGTCCTCTTCTGTGAAGCTGTAGGTTTTGCTCCCTTTGGAACCCTTTGTTGCACACTTCACATATAAACCTGTTTGTTGCCATTAGTGTCTTCGGTGATAGTGCTATCACCTCCGCATCTGGATCTATACGTTTCCATTCAAAAATATAAAAAACATGCCAAACAATAATTAATTATTAGAAAATTCACAAGATTAAAAAAAATTATTAAAAAGAGAAAGCTTGAAGACAAAGATTTCCATTAGATACCCTTTTAATTTCAATCCATTTCACATTTATATGTTTCAAAATTAGGATTCCCCCACATCAGCTAGGGACTTATATTAATGAGAAACAATAAAAATAATAATGGGTGGCCTAGTAAAATATTTGTAGAAATGAAACCAAAAAAAATTATTTATTGAGAGGAAATGATTCAGAGATTTGATCATTTTTGATAAAATTGTTAAGATACTTGCTTGGTGTTCCAGGTTGGTTTCTTCTTTTCTTCTGGGGTGGTGCAGCTGGAGTTGTTGATGATGATGGTGTTGATGAATGCTGTTGCTTCATCTGATTCTGATCCTCTTCTCTGACTCCAAAGAGTGATGTTGCTGAAAAAGATGCAGCCATATCTAATAACAAATCCTCTCTATATATACATAACCTCCTTCCTCCAAGACATGCAATTTTTAGTCCTTCAACTCTAATCCCAATCTCAAAACTCAAAAGAGCAAAATAATCTGAATTCCTTGGGCTGTGCAGATTAATAGAGAGGAGAATCTAAAGGAGGGGAATTCTCATAGAAAAAGCTGAAGAAGAGAGAGATATGTGAGTTGAAAGAGGAAGAAAAAGCAAATCAACCCACCATGACCACTTGACATGAATTTCCTCCCAAGTTGGCTTGTTTCAAATGAGAAAATTTGAGATAGATATACTATGATTCTTTTCACTGATTTGGTGTCATGCAGATACACCAACACATATAACAATCACACCCCATTTTGCTTCTTTCTTTTTCTTTGCTCTTTTTTTTTTTGCCCCCACTTCCCTTTTTTTCTCTTCAAACTTTTCTTTTTCCCAGATTTTGCTCAATGTTTTTCTGTCATAAATGAAATTTCACAATATGAAAAATTAAATGAGAGAGAGAATGGGTAAGGCCTAGAGCTCTGTGGACCCAATCCTTAGTCACATAACGACATAGGATATGTGTAAGCATCATGAAACAGCTACACCACACACACACACACTCTCTCTCTTTCTCTATCTCTATCTCTATCTCTATCTCTATTGTTTCGCATATTCTGACTCACTCCCAGACAAACTTTCACTGATCACCCTGCCCCACTGGACCTTACAGAAAATTCAAAAGGAAAAATTGTGTGATGGAACCAAAACCGTATATATAAAAAGATAAAAATTAAATAAGCATTGGTTTGTAAAAAAATTAAAAGAATTTAAAAATAATATATATTAAAGATAGGAAATAGATAAATATATAAAATTGTTAGCAGGGTTTTTATTTTTATTTTTTTATGTAAATATAATTAATCAGTTTTTGTGGAAGTGGAAAACACCTGAGGATTGATTGGGCAAAGGGCTGAATGAAACTGTTGTCTGAAATTCAGCAGAGGCAGAGTGTACTGTGTTGTTGCCGTTTGAGGTCATTGACATGGAAAGGGCAAAAAAGGTTTCTGAACTTTCCTTTGCTGTGTTTAGCTGCCTTGGGTTGCATGCAACACTATGGCTCGCTGGTACCTCATAGTCACATCACGGAGGGACATGTAAAATTGGAAATGGGTAATTTAGTCATTTAAAAAACAAATAATTAAATTAATTTCTTACAAATTTAGTAATTTAGTATAATCTACCCATGTTTTTACTTTCATAAATTGAAAAATGTTAGAAAATAATATAAATCATTAAAAAGGTCCTCATTTAACAATTTAAGTTTTTGGGTTGAATTTTTTTTTTTTTGAAGATATTTTAATCGGTTCATTGCTTCACAACTAGTTCAATTCGGGGCGGGTCCAAGGATTAAGGCTTTAAACCCCTCTCAAACGGTACTGGGAAGATCAAACACATGCTCTCATCCCCAACTGTTTAATTCCCTAGTTCTAACTGAGCTACTATTTTTTTTTACATGGTATCAAAGCATCAGTGTCACAGGTTCAATCATTACTGTCCTCGTTAACAATTAATAATCGGTTAAGTATTTTGGAGTTTACCATGTAAAGAACCAATTCAATCCAAAAGTTATGGATGAGAGCATTTTTAATTGTTTATATTATTCTCTAACACCCCCCTCATGCAAGAGCCATTTGGGCTTGAAGCGTGTATATTACACATACCTAATTTCTGGCTTACTTTGTGCTTATTTAATTCCACTATAAAGTGAGGGCGAGTGATAATCAAACTCGTGACCTTATAGTTACTGAAGCTCTGATACCATGTAAAGAACTAATTCAATTCAAAAGATTAAGCTTTTGGGATGAATAAGTTATTTACATGGTATCAGAGCCTCAATGTCATGGGTTCGATCCTCACCACCTCCCATTTAATTAATAATCAATAAAGTCTTGTGGGGTTTTTCAGCACAGGTAGGTGGGTCGTGCATTATCCACTCTTCAAGCCCAGTGGGCTCTCGAATAAGGTGGCATGTTAAAATATAATATAAATCATTAAAAAGATCCGCAACCTTAAAGTTTTTGGTTGGAATGATGCTTATCATTGTATCAAAGACTGGTTTGAGAAGTATAAAGTCATTAATGTAGCATCACTCATTAGCTTAAGCTTTTGGGTTGAATTAGTTCTTTACATGGTATAAGAGCCTTCGTGACCAAGTGGTTACAAGTTCGATTCTCATAGCCTCCATTCAGTTAATAAACAATTACATATTGTAGAATTTTTTAGCACAGGTAGGTTGGGCCTATTGCATCATACACCCTTCAAGCTCAATAAGTTCTCGTGTGAGGGAACGTGTTAAAGAAATATAAAGTCATTAATGTAGCCTTATCCATTAACTTAAACTTTTTAGTTAAATTGGTTCTTTACAGAAAGTCTTATGCACCGAGATCAATTTAACTTTAGAAAATAAATTGATCCAAATATAGTGGAATTTAGGAAACTGTAATAATATTTTATGTTTTTTATTAAAAAAATTAATTTAATGATAAAATGTTTTAAAGATTAACCCCATGAGATCAATTTAAGGGATTAGTTAATAAAGGGAGGGGGAATCTAAATTAGAACACCAAACGAAAGACCTAGTCCAAGCACTAAGGATAAACAAATCACCCGTGGACGTTTTGAGACATAGAGTGCACTTGCCATGGTCCCAACTTGTTCGTTGCTACTTGCTTTCAAGACACAGCTAAATTCTGACCGTGGATTATGTGGGAAATAATCACAGTCCACGGAACTGAATAAAGTGAAACGTGCTTTTTTGGGAATTATGTGAGGTCTTGAAAGGGATAGTTATTAGTATTATTCTCAAATATCTTTTAAAAAAAATTAATTTTACCAAGAAAGTTTCATTCCTTTGATTCAGATTAAGTGCTCATTTGTCCTCCTTTTTAGATTTCATTTCATTGACAATTTTTCAACAAACAATAGTTGCTAGGTGCAGCTGTCATTCTTTGAAATAATGACAGCCTAACCATAAATTAGATTTTTTTGATTGATAGAAATTAAAAGATAAAGCTCTAATTTTGTATGTGGATGGCATGGGATGAGATTATATCAGATATGGCCACAACTTTGAGCATGCCATCTAACCACCATATACGTGCTGCTGTTTCTTATAACAAAAATATTGATTTGTGAAAGATTAATGCTTATAGTTGTTAAAATGACTCCATCCAGATGAATATAGATTGGTCAGATACTATCAAGACTGTCAAAACATTTTGAACTTATGGAACGTCTATAACTAGCCGGTAAAACATGACATATAATTATGAAGATTAAAACATCAATCATAGAGTTTTAAAATATTTATCATGTACTAGTATTGGCTCAGGCTCACAACTCTTGCTATATATCCCTACACTCAACACATAATTGATGTATATGTAGGCCCCTCTTGGCCCATTTTCTGTTATGAACCTCACTAGCAAGTGAATCCAGGCTTAACTTCAGTCACCCAGCAAGTGAGTCGGATTGATGCCGGTACTTATTAATTTACAATAGATGAATAGAGAATAAGATATTTTAAACTTACTTGGAGTTAAAAGATCCTCCCTAGTCAGGTAGTCCCTACTATATATATATATATATATATATATATATATATATATATATATATATATATATATATATATATATGGGTCTATCATTTCTCAAACTGCTTGAAATAATTTTATCTCCGGCGACTAAATCATAATCGTACAAAGATGGGTCAATAGTAATAAAGAAAGAGAGAGAGAAAAAAGAAATCATAATCATTCAAAGGTGAATCAATTAATATAAGGAAATAAATAAACAAAACAAGATAGTTTGGGGGGGCGGAGATAAACTTATCTCAAGTTGCCGGAGAAATATTTTTCCCTATATATATATGGGGTAAATATTTTTACAGCAACTTTAGATAAGGTTATCTACAACTATCCTTTTTTAATTAAGTCTGACCAGTAATACATAGTTATAACAATAAAGCTGTTCTATTTTTCTCTCTCTTAAGACATTGTCGGCTGACGTGGCGGAGAGAGAAAATGCAATTTTTATTTATGACTAGTCAGACTTAGTTAAAAAAGAGATAGATGTAGATAACTTTATCTAAAACGACTGTAGAAATACCTTTTCATATATATATATATATATGTGTGTGTACACACACATATATATATATGGGAAAAACATTTCTCAAGCAGCTTGAGATAAGTTTATCTCTGACTACCCCAAAACTACGTCGTTTTATTTATTTATTTCTTTATATTAATTGATTCACCTTTGAATGGTAATGATTCTCTTTTTCTCTCTCTTCCTTTATCACCATTGATCCATCTTTATACGGTTATGATTTACTAGCCGAAGATAAGATTATCTCAAACAGCTTGAGAAACGGTAAGCCATATATCTATACATATATGTGTGTGTATATATGGGAAAAACATTTCTCAAGCAGCTTGAGATAAGTTTATCTCTGACTACCCCAAAACTACGTCGTTTTATTTATTTATTTCTTTATATTAATTGATTCACCTTTGAATGGTAATGATTCTCTTTTTCTCTCTCTTCCTTTATCACCATTGATCCATCTTTGTACGGTTATGATTTACTAGCCGAAGATAAGATTATCTCAAACAGCTTGAGAAACGATAAGCCCTATATCTCTCTCTGTGTGTGTGTTGTGTGTGTGCACACACACACACACATATATATATATAGAGTTTATATTTCAGCATGCTGCTGTATGTGCAACAATCAAATACTTGTTATACATATACGTGAAAGCATTAAATGTGGGGAATCATAACCATACAAAAGATGAAAGCATTAAATGTGGAGAATCATAATCATACACATGTCGTTGTTGTACGTAAAGTGGCTGGAGAAATGATTTTACCTATATATATATATATATATATATATATATATATATATATATATATATATACATGAATGTAATTTTTAAAATATATTCATAATTACATTTTATGCAACAATTAATTTTAAATCTTTTCATATAAATTAGTTTAAGTTTTTAATGCAAGTTATTTAAATAAATCATTTACAATAAACATTTTGATTTTCAATTACATAAATGAGTAAAGAAAATGCACAATACGGGTAACTTGTGACCAAGTTAGACAAACAATTTATCAACGTAAACTATATTTGACCTGTTGCAGACGGCAGACCAACTCGCATTTAGCCTAGTCGTCTGTCCTAAAGAAACTTCGCATTAAACTAAGAAGTTGAGATGTATAAAAATGTTTTTAATTAGACACATGATAAACTTTTAGTTTATCTTATCTTATAGACTAAAATTACATGCATTATCAAGTTAAATAAGTGAAAACTAGGATTGTAACCACCA